GTGATCGTTTTGCGCCGTCAAGGTGCTGACTCTCGTTACAGGCATAGATAGATCCCACTCCCAACTTCACCCTAACTTGTGATGTAATATAGAAAGTAATGAAGTGTCGGTGCACATAAGGATAGGATGGGCAGTTGTCAACGCGATTGAAGGTTGCCAGTGAAGGATCTACAGTGGATCGTAGCAGCTTGATCGGTGCTGCCGTATAGTGAGTGCACAAACCTAGCCATTTTGGAGACGATAAATATGAACTTTGAAAACCGCTATCCATTGCATGAATTTGGTGAAAAGAATGGCAAGTTATACCGAGGTTAGAAGCAGTTTCTATCGCAATTCTGGTCGTCCACTGGAGCAAGTGTTCAAACTCCTCATGGGTTACGTTGGCTGGGGTGTTATGCACACCACCAAATACACCACCGCGGTGTGAGGCAAGTAGTGGTTGGAAGGTTGAAAGTAATCATATCAAAACCCGGCGTGAGGGTACTAAAAACTTAATCAGGAGATTAAGACATGTCACTTTGTTGCAGACCTCGGGATAGATGGTAAGAGACAATGGAGTGAGGCTTCGTTGTCAACAGTTGCACCCTTGCATCTACTCAGTTTCTTCGCTTGAATCCCTATCGTCACCTTAGTATTGGTCCCCCGCGTTCTAATTATCCCCTTTACCCTTGCATCACAATAGACAACCAAAAGACGGTAATCATAAGCGCCGCACAAAAGCATACGACCAGCAGTTGTTTGGAATTAACAATGGAGGAGCACTGTGATAGGGAGTGTTCAGCAAAAACTTATCAACAAATCTGCATCTGGATTTTGTCACCTGAAAGTAGAGCTAAGAATATCCGCCCATTGTTGAACCCATCGAACTTGGTTCACAGAAATTCCATAGTGAAGAATCATCTTAACACACCGACAGAGAACTTTGTTTGATTCCTCCGATAATATTGCTTTTATCGTAAATACGAATCTTACACGCCAGAATTGATTGATAAACATCTATCTTTCTGCGCTAGCAAAACGCGTTAATAACTGGGACAAAATAGCTGAAAACGCGACTGCAGTCAATAGCGTGATTGACTTCAGGTAAAAGCTAAACTGCTGGATTGTTTCATTACACAGTGTGTGATGAACAGCAGTCGGAATCCCATAGTCACGAAGACCTGCTGCTCCATCGTGGAAACCGTTAAACTAAGCCACGGGACTTTAAGTAGCGAATCACATAAGGCCCCACTAGGTTAGGCGTGGTACTGAACCGGACGACAGTAAAGCTGTCTACCACCAAAGGTTGGTGGCGGTGAACAGGATGAGATATCCATAACGTCCCCTGGGTGATCCAGGTAACTTCGTTACCTTTCCATCTATTTTGCCTCTCTTACTATCATTCTTTGTGAACGCACCTCTTTACAGTTCATTATATCGATGTTGACATTCACTGGTAAAACGGGACCACTGAAGACTTACATATAGAAGAAAGTTCAGGATACGCATCTCAGCCACCCGGACCCCGCTACTGTTACTGAAAGGACGACACTTTCTCCACCTTGGTCTAACTTCCACACTGGAAAGTGAAACTCAGTCTATCGTATAAGAAACAGGGAAGCCATGCAATCATCTCAAGTTCTGTGACCAGATTGGGTATTTCTGAATTTATCCTAACCTCCCACACCCACCACTGTTACTTTGAAAACCGACTCATTAGAAATGATAGAAGAGAAAATCTCATAACTCATGTAAGTATATTAAACAGTGAGTTCAGTTTCCTTTATATTTATAATAGAGCTCTCCAACATCATACTTGCCGATGAATTTCCATCCGTCTTGAGTCATGTGATACACTGTAAAGTCAATGAGTAGATCAAGGCAAACTCACAATTGATGTTTCCTCCAGAAGCAGCATCACGGTGTGTTGCGTGAAAAATGGCTCTACGAGCCAACTCATAAGCTTCCTCGTCTTTCATGCCAAATTTGTAATTTGTGTCTAGCACACCATAGGCATACATACTGCCCGAACCGACGGAAAACAGATTCCCAGTCATTCTCTCACCATTATCATCCACGTAGTAGATGCCTGGGCCTTTTTTATCCCAACCTACTATTGTAGTGCCGAGGCTTAGTCCCATGCCTTTATATTCGTAAAGCATATTCGCCAATAACTTGGAGGCAGCAGCAACCGACATGCGTTCTTTGTTTCTCAGTTCGAATAATCTACAAGTGGAATTGACAGAAAAACCCTACGACTCACCTGCATTGCTTCGCTAGAACGCGTTCCCAGAAGGCGCAATCCGCAGCCCCACCAGCCATTGTTCCCAGGAGGTATTTGTTAATTACAAGGATCTTTTCCGTTGTTCCGGAGGCTGAAGAAATCGTCGATCAAACCAATAATGATTACCAATATACGACCCTGAAGATGCACGGGAATCCGCCGCGACAATGGCTCCACCAGCATACTTAAAAGCAAGTGTCGTGGTGCCGTGATTGAAATTGATTTGAACCGGTCCGCATTTGATACCGTGGTCTACTGTTTCTACCGAGTCAGCGCAACGCCGAGACCAAAAAAGGTCTGCCTCATGTGAAGGTTGAAAAATATTATCAGCCGAGTCAACAGAAATCGACTCCTTTCTGAAGGATGAGAAACTCGTCCCAAGCAAGGTACTTAGGGCCATTAGTAATGAGTGGGCAAGTGCTGTTACACACTTTACTCTGATTGGTCAGATTCATTTATTCAGATTTCGAGGTCAGCTCAGGTCACGTCAGGTCAGGTTGCACAGGACTGATAATGGCCACGGCCAATCGAGCTTCCAGGTTTCTTCCGGCAGTATGCTCACAAAGTGGGCATCCACCACTGCGAATTGCCTTCATTACGGCGTCCTTGCCTAAAGGGAAAAGAAAAAGCTCGTCTCCTTTCACCTCATCGGCGAACAAGGGACATGGGTCA